TCCCTCTCCGCACTGCACTGCCGGGCTCCCACTTTCTGGGCCTCTCTACTTTCCCACCCCTGCCCTCCCTCCTGGGCAGATAGACTGCAGCTGGGAGAGGGTTGCAAGCAGCAGCTGCTGCTGATGTGCCTAGGCTGCCCTCTGTCCTGGTTGCCCTTGATCCCCCCTTGGCCCGTTGCTGGACATAGTTAGGAAGGGATCATCTTGGGGAGGCTGTCTTCCTACCCTTGCTCTTGTTCCCCTTAACTCTTCTACCAGCCTTCCACACGTCATCAGCAGGATGGGCAAACTGGAGCAGGTGGATGTGAACCTTTTCTGCCTGGTTGCCACAGACTTCTACAGACACCAGATAGAGGAGGAATTCGACCGCAGGGCTTTCCAGTCTGTGTTTGAGGTGGTGGCGGCACCAGGAAGTCCGTACCACCGGCTGCTCGCTTGTTTGCGAAATGTCCACAAGGTCACCACCTGCTGAGTAGTACCTGTGGTTACGAGAGGCTGAGAGGAGGCAGCTGCTGGGGCCAGAGCCTCAGGAGCCTATGCCAAGCTTCTGCTGGGCTGCCTTGGTCACGCAGGCTTCCACTTGTGTCAAGTGGACAGCCAGGCAATGGCAGGAGTGCTTTGCATTGTGGGCTATGCAGGGAACATGCACTATGTTGGGGTTGAGCCTGAGTCCTGGGTCCTGACCTCACTGCGGCTGGTGGCAGTGCTAGGTTGACCAGGCGTTTGTCTTTTTCCTAGTGTTCCCCTGGCCATGGTAGCCAGGTTGCAGCTGCACTGGTGTGTGGAGCAGAAGTTCTAGCTCTTGCCAGATGGTTCTGAGCCCTCCTGCCCCACTGGGCTGGAGAGCTCCCACCTGAATTTCCCCAGCAGGGTATACCTGCCACACCAGTGTCTGGACACAAAATGAGTGGTGTGTGGGGGCTGGGAACTGGGCTGCCAGGTGTCCAGCATCGTTTTCCCTTTCTCTGTTTTCTTCTCAGGAGTTAAAATTTAATTATATCAGTAAAGAGATTAATTTTAATGTAACTTTTTATGCCCGTGTAAAGTGTGTGACTTGCAAGGCCTGTGCTGCATGTGATGTAGTTTGTGGAAGTGGATGGACCTTCTGGCCACTGCTCCCTATCCTGTAGCTACTCAGTCTAGTCAGGCAGGTCCCTTGTGTAGCCCAATACCTGATGGCACTTGCACCTCACACGTCTCCCTTTTCTTATGCATCACATTTAACCAGCACACAGAGAGGTGTTCATGTCAACCGCCCTGAGAATCCCACCTGTGGCCCAGCCGAGGGGCCGAGGAGAGCTGCTTTCCACTGTTAGGGTTGTACAAGGCTTGCCTTGATGCAGACCCCTCCTCAGGCCTGACTGTCAAGCCGTCTACTCAACAGTGACAATGCAGTCTCCTAGTCCCTCAGCCTAGCCAGAAACAGCCTCTGTTGCACCCAAAGAGGTTACCCCAATAACCTCATCTCTGCTCCCAGCTGACTGGGCTGTAGCCTGTCCGGGAACCGACTAGCCATAGTGGATGCTGTCCTTGTATCTTCTGCATGGCGGGGACCTGAGGAGTGCTGGTCTGATAACCCCACAGGTGTCTCTGAGCTGTGGTTTGTTGGTTTGTCTCAGTTTCTCTTGGTCAAGGGAAAGCTTGGTATCCTAGCAACTGTTAAGAATGGACCCCCCCCCCCTTTTTTTTGCCCCTTCCCATCTTGCTTCTGTCAGCCCGGGAGAGTACAGACCTGTGCGTATCAGAGCCCCGGGAGGGTTCAGCCTGACAAGATGAGGACCGGAGGGGAGGTTCAGTATCAGGTCAGCCTGTGGCCTGGGGACAGCCCCCCATACTTGTCAGAGCTGCCTCTTCTTCCCAAGGCCCAGGCCCAGAGTAGCCAGGTCATGTTAATGCAGATTAGCCCTGGACATGGGCTGCCCTCATTTCCGGCTGGGTTTGGGAGCTCTGTTTGGCTGTATGACAGGGTAGGTTCTCTGCTGCTCAGCTAAGTCATGTCCGTGTGGAGTGGGGGAAGAGGTCACTTGGAGCTGTCTTGAGGCTACACAGGAAGAAAGAGCTTGTAGCCTATCGCATTAATTAACTGTGCTTCAGTCCACCGAGGGCTGCCTTGAGACCTTGGGCTCCCTCTGTCTTCACATCATGACACTTGAAAGGCAGCTGCGGTGCAAGGCTCCTGCTATCCACAGGGCATGGGAGCCTCACGCCTGGTCTGGTTCCTTTTCTGTCTGCCCTGGCAGAGGCCACCCCAAGCCACCCCAGACCATCCTGGTGTCATGGAAGCGTGAACAGTGGATGTGGATCAGATCTTTCAAGAGGGAAGCTACTGAATTTTAATGAAAGAAAGTCTCCAGTGCCCCTCTGCTGACTTAGGGCTCCCACTTCTTACCCTAGACTTTCCCACTAGAAGTGCTTGGGGGCCACGTGGAAGTTCACGGATTGCTGCTGCCACACCCCCAGGTTGGCTCAACAGCTCTGAGATGGTCATGTTGCAGGCCTGATTACTGCTTACGGTAGACGTTTATAAGAAAAAATGAACGTAAAATCTGGAGCCATTCCCCTGGGGATTCATATCAGTGAGTTCAACCTGGAGTTCAGTTGGTCTCTTGTTCACAGTATGATCAGAAACAGTTCTTAATATGAGGCTAGAAGAGTTTCTGCCACAAAGCTGTTCTCTTCTGATGGGCGCCACAGCCTAGAGATGCACCTAGGCACAGGCAGGCATGCATTTGTGTATATGTATACCCAGAGTTGTATTTGTGTACACACACACACATGCACACACTTCTCAAGACATATGTAAGATGCCTGACCATTCTTCCTGGAAGCTGCCGTTTTTGGACCTGCCACATACAGTCAGCTCTGTGACTCTAGCATTTGAGAATGGGACTCAATTTAAAATTAAAAAAAAAAAAAAAAAAAAGGCCGTAGCTCATTAAAGTACCACTGGAGATATTGCCCCACCTGACTGACTGCAGGAGGGACCAAGACTTTTTATCCAATTCCTCAAAATTTATGGACTTCCAAGCTTTATTTTAAAACATTATTTTGATTGTGGGGTTTTGGGGGCAAGAGGTGGGATGTTGTTTTCCTGCTGGTACTGTCAGGAAAGATTTTAATGAAACCAGGGTAGAACTATTTGGCAATGCACTTCAGCATGTTTCTTCTCCAAAATGTGCCTCCTTCCTACTGCTGGCCCCCATGACATGTAGGTGACTTTGCAACTGCCAAGTGCCCTTTATTCTCTCATTTTTCTCTGCACATGTACCCTTCGAGAGGGAAGAGTTAGAGTGGACCCACCTCCAGCCCTATGGAATGTAGTGCCAGAGAAGGCACTAACCCTGATAGGCCCCTCCCCTGACAGGAAGCACCTTTGGGTAAGGCAGCTCTGCTTTCGGCCCGTGGGGTGGGTCTTACCCAGCAATAGCAGCGTGGCTCACAGCCTCCCTCTGTGGGGCTGCAGATGTAGTCTCCTCTTGCCGCCTTCCCCACACAGTCTCACCTGGGTTTACACCATTCCATCATCCTTCCATCAACACTGAGCACTAAGGTCATAGCTGCTGCCAGGGCAGGCAGGAAGCTGTCTTCTGGGGGTTGGTATATGGGAACAGAAGGCACTAAGGGCTGCTGAGGCTGGGTGGGGAGCTCAGGATTGTCACAGGTTGGAAGAGAACTGTTCCTCCATGGGTCTGGAGCTTCCAGGAAAGAAGAACCCACACTGAGCAGTGTGACAACTAAAGATAATCTGAAGGTTCAGGGCGACCCCTCTGTGTGCTTGTCACGCTTTAGTGCCATCAAAGGAACTGCTTCCGTCAGTGTTTCTGGAAACACCCTCTGCCACAAGTTGGGTGTAAGGTGATGGTGGCAAAGACCTATCTGCAGAGGTTTGGCTGCGTTCTAGGGGCTCCTGTGTGTCACAGGCTCCACTGGGAAGGAGGGCTGTGATGGGTGTGCCCCGGAGCCCAGCCCAGACCTGGCTGTCCACTTCCAAGAGGAAGGACTGACATGAAATGTATATTTAAAAGTTTTAAATTGCAGATATTGTACATTTGAATTAAAGAAGCAATTAAACTACCCATTGTTACTGTCTGAGGCTTGTTTTACTTCTAAGAATCTCCTTTCTAGCATTTGAGGAAAGCATCCTGCTCATGTCCAGTGGGCAAGTATACCACTCAGCAAGCTGCCTTGACACCGTAAAGGTCGGCAATATTAGGTATGAAATGAGCCTAGGTACCTGGAGTTGGGACCAGGCCTAGGGGTATTCACAAAGCCTACTGAAGTGGCCTTCCTGTCTGGTGTGCCAAATTCTGATTGTTATTGGCATTTTAAGCCATTGTGCAAGGTCTTAGATACTATTTCAGCTTCCACACGTTGCTCCAGGGTACTAGAGGGGTGGTAAGGCTCCATCCTCACGTAGGACACACAGTTTGGCTTTGGAGTCTGTATAGTCTCCAACTCTTCTTCCTTTCTGGTCGTACACCTGGTCCAGGTGGAATCCCTCCACCCCCTCAACACAACTGGTCTTCCCACCTTTGTCCTAGGCTGGCTGCTGTGTCTGCAATGCCTACCGTATCCTGTGTGGCTTGCAAATCCTTTTGCCTTGTCTAAAGCGTCCATCTAACCAGGTCCCTTCCCTTGTATCTGGGCTGAGCCTGAAGTGCAGGCATTTTATTTACCAGCCTGCAGGGTAAGGGGCTGTTTGTTGAACACTTTGTGAAGGCCCGTCAAGTTCCAGTTGAGAGGCACTTGTCTACTCAGTCCCTCAGCCCCCCAGACACTGAAGTCAGTGGCAGGATCACTCTCAGAGCCTTAGTAACTCAAGCATTTGATGGTGTAGGTGTTGCTTCAACTCCTGAGTCTGTCTCAGCAGCCCTCGGAGACTGTGGTGACCTTGCCCTTAATTGAGTTTTGGTCACCAGAGAAATGAAGCACCCTTCCCTCCCGGTGGATAGCCAGACATTTGACACAACAGGCGTAGGAGGAATTTTCAGAAAGGATGAGATAAGCCTGCCTGGGATGTCTGCAGCATGTTATTTCTTCTAGCCACCACAGCAGAACCCCGCTCCTCACCAGAGCAAGTCTTGCCCTCCCCCTTTGCCTGGGGAATATAGGAGCACAAGACTTGAGGTCCCCCCCCCTCTGCCTTTCATTGTGGTTGGTATTTGTTTCCAACTTTACCAAAAACACTCTGAAGGAGTTTCTTGAAGAAGGCGCCTAATGCTGTATTGGATGAGGAAGCCAGGGTGAGTATGTGTGCCATGGAGTAGGTTCCAGGTTCTCTGAAGATACACTGGGGCTTCCTAGGGCGTGGGCCTTTCCTCCATAGGAGGTTATATAGCTCAACCAAATCTGGAAAACCAACTTGGGCAGCCCAGGGAAGGCTCATGGGCAGATGTGGACCCAACACTGGAGAATCCCAGACCTTCCTGGAATCTACACACATCCTTGGCTCTGAAGCCTGAGTCTCAGCTCCTAAGTATCTCCCTCCATGCTGTGGTCCTGGAGGGGATGCCCGCTTCATTTTAAGCTGGGAGTGGGTGTTTGGGGTATGGTTGGAGAGGGGAGGGCTGTCCACAAAGACAGTGAGTCACATCTGGGCACCTCAATGCTACATAATGGCAATGTTCAGTATTGCAATCTAGGTACCTAGCTAGGCTTCTATCCCGGGAATTGCTGGCACAGGCCAGTTCTAAGGTAGGTCAGAACCCCCCCTTACTACCCACCACTGAGATAGGCCACACCTCACTTGGCTCCCAGAGCAGTCCAGGCTCTTTAGTGCCCCAAGACTTCCCATACCAGGCTCTACGACCTCTCAGTCAAGGCTGCACTCGGGCACTGCCACATACATGTGCACACGTTTCCTATACTTCCAGGCCTTTGTCACATCTTCAACCCCTACATTCTTCCCACCAGTACAGGCTGTTCACAGCCCCTTGCTTTGAAAAGTGTCCTGGCATCCCCCATAGCTGCCCACTTTCTGCTCTGGTCTCTATTTGTATAGGCTGACCTTGGCTACCATCACCCTAGTTGAGGCTGCCTTCCTACAGCCTGAACAGTTCCCGTCAATCCAAGTCTCAGGTTAGCCCCAGACTTGTTATTTAGAGGGAAAACAGACCCAGAGAGCCTCAGTAGGTCTCACCAGCTCACAGCAGGCCAGTTTGACCCCATTGTGCCTGGCCTCTAAGGGACACTTGCTAAAGCTGACCTGCCCCCTTTCCCTTCAGGTGCTTCTGGGGGCCTAGTCCTCAGCCTTCTGCCTTCTCATCCCGTGACAACTGAGGGTCCTAGCAGGCCATGCAGCTGTGCCAAGGTATGGAACCCTGTAGCCATATGACTGTAGGGCCCTGAGTAATGGCAATAGAATCCATTAGCCAACAGCTAGCTCCTGGCCAGGCTTTGAACTCTCCAGAGGCTCTAAGGAGGTTTGTGGGAGGGGCTAGGAGATGGAAGATGGGGACCCTATGACCTCCCCACATCCCTAAAGAGTTTATGGTTCTTTGGCCAGCATTTTGCTAGCTCCTGTTATTCTAGTACAGGGATGAAGAAACTGAGGCTGGGGCCCATTGCTAAGGTCACGCAGAGTCAGAGCTAGATTCAAAATCTAGCATCTTGAAACTGGGAGTGGTGACACACATTTTTAATCCCAGTACTCAGAAGGCAGAGACAGGTAAATTCAGAATCCTTGGGCCCCAGTTCGTGCTTGCCTGTCTTTCCCTGTTTGCTAGAGGTGCTGTCTGTGGAAAGGCAATAAGGCAGGTACCTAGTTACTCCACCCTACAAGGATCGATCTTTTGAGCCTAAAGAACGGGGGCTTCCTGGAGGAGGCACTTTCTAGGTACTCTATACTGCTGGGAGCTCTGAGAACCAGACCCAGTTCCTACACTCAGCGCTAGGGGGCAGCAGTGAACCAGCTGGCCAGTAGCGTGTCTGACTCTTGACAGTGAGAGCACAGTGAGTCCGGACCTTCTGAGGACCCCTTTAGGAGAAATAGAACAATGATGGGTATTTGCAAACAAACCTAGGGGTGTCTGTAAAACTCCGCAGTAGGAAGGAGTCCTTAGGTGACTCCCAGGGTCGAGAGAGGAAGGAGTTCAGCCAGTATGTCGTAGCTTTTAGCAAGGCCGGACACTGACCTGAACCTATGAAGTGATACACAAGACTTCCAGGGGCTGCCTCTCTTTTCCTTCCACTTTAAATTCTGGACTGGAGCTCAGGTCACTCCCCCACCACCCGACAAAGTCCTAACTGTGCTCTTTACAATGGACACAGGAAGCCCAGAGACCGTTTTCTCCTGGCTGAGCTCTTCCTGCCTTTGATCTGTCAGGGAGCGGACTGATAGACGCTCTTCCTCTGCTGACCAGAGAGTTTGAGCCTAGTTGCTTAGGAACCCGGCTCGACCCTGTACCTAGCACAAGCTTGTGCAGCTGAGGGCCTTAGGTTCCATGGAGTCACATTCGGTTCTCACCTCCCAGATGTTAGATGTTGATGCCCTGTGATGGCCTTCCCTCTGCAGACTCCACATCTTCCACTCCTGCTTTCCTGCTGGTTCCTCGGCCTGAGGTCCCTGCCTAGCACCGTGGGCTTATTAATCCCCCACCTTGATATTTTTTGCCTCTCTCCACCCCAGCATTGCTATATTTCTTGGGGACTAGCCCCAGGCTGTGCCCTGCCTCAGGCCATTGAAGTTGCCCTCTGGCCGCTGCCAATTTTCCCTGCTGGGCCTCCTCAGCTCAGCTCAGTTAGCCTCTTCCCTCAGTGCTATGCTCCTGCTTCCATCCATGATGAAGGTCAGTGTCTGTGCCCTTCTGGCCTGCATGGCTAAGCAAGGCCTCGTTATGACTAGCCTGCCTTCCCAACACCCACACAACCTGAGACCCAGGGTGTTTGGTGAGTGGAGCAAGAGCAGCAAAGAGTCAATGATGATGAGGCAGGGCCTCAGGAGGCCCGACCTCAGTAAAGCTTGACAGGCTCTGAGAGAGAGACCTCTCAGCAAGGACCCCACCACATCAACAGTCATCAGTGTAGCATTGGGGCCTCCATCTCCCTTGGGACCTTGCACCTTGGGTCTCAGCACACTGCCCATCTTGGGCCTCCTCAAACTCTGGCCTATATGAACCAGGTAGGGCTGAGGTGGGGACTGCCTGGGTCCCCCATGCAGAAGCCTTTCAGGCCCAGCTGAAGCAAGTCTCCTCTGAGGCCCAGAGGGCCAGCAGGGTGGGAGGAGGGCTGGGAGCCACAGTGGGTTTGGGCACAGCCTCTCGCTGCAATATTGATGGCCCGTCAGTGCAGCCCTGATTCCTGTGCTTTCAGTTAAAAGGTTTCTGTTGTTGTAGCTTATGCAGTTGCTCTGTTGCTATGGAAACATGACATCAAAATGACGTTTCCCGTTTAAAAGCTTTTAACTAAATTCCTGCCTGTCAGATGTAGGCCCCATTTTGAGCGTGGAGCTGCCTCGAGCGAGCGAGTGAACCAGTGCACTGCCTCTCGCCCATGGTGCGCTGGCCAGGCCTGAGGCCCTGCCTGAGTGCCATCCTTAACCCTGCAGGTGCCTCCAGCATGGCAGCAGCCGAAGTGCCCGGCTACCTTGTGTCTCCTCAGACAGAGAAGCATCGGCGGGCCCGCAACTGGACAGATGCGGAGATGCGTGGCCTCATGCTGGTCTGGGAGGAGTTCTTCGATGAGCTCAAGCAGACCAAGCGCAATGCCAAGGTGTACGAGAAGATGGCCAGCAAGCTCTTCGAGATGACTGGGGAGCGCCGGCTAGGCGAGGAGATCAAGATCAAAATCACCAACATGACCTTTCAGTACAGGTGGGCACGCAGGATGGTTCTGGGAGGGTCCAGCCAGGCTGCTCTACTCTTGGCCACTCTGTGGTCTGAGGCAGGGAGGGTGTGTGTGGCCTGGGATGGATGGTCCACCTGTAGGTTAGAGCCCCACTGGGCAAGATGGCCTTCTAAAACCATTTATGTAGCCTCCCGTTGGGAAGATGGGGAAACTGAGGCCCAGAAGCAAAAAAAACTGGTCCTGAACTCTCAAGTAGCAAGGCTGACAATGTCTCCCTCTCAACTTCCTGGGACCAGGACTGGAGCTGCAGCATCATGAGGATGGTTCTAACGTTGGCATTAGACCTGCCTCCTGCCTGCCCTGATGGCCTCAGAGGTGTGTGTCACACAGGCAGCAGCAGCACGCCTCGCTTCCTGAACTGGGACTCCAGGGTACCAGTTGGTCTAGCTTCTGCCTGCCTGTCACAGCCCCTGAGTTGGGCAGGATATGGGCGTTCCTTGTTTCATGACGGGAAACTGAAGCTGTGGTGAAAAGGAGGCTTGACTCCCAGGCCTGGCTCACCTTGATGTCTTGGGACTTTGAGTGCTAAGTGAGTCCCCGCCGTGTGCCTAGGGCCAGCCTCAGGGTTGGTGAGAGGGGTGTTTGGGGGCTGCCCAGACAGCACGAAACTCTGCCCTGGGAACTCCCCATCTGGGTCTCTGACTCGGCTGCGTCTCAGTTTGACTGTCCTAGCGTGCAGCTCAAGGAGGAGAGCCTGGAGGGAACTGACGCTAAGGCCTGGAACATCTCTGGCATCCAGGAGGGAACCGCTGCGGTGGGCCTGACTGATCTGGAAAGAGCCAAAGACAGGGCAGGGATCATGGATGGGGTGCAGATTGTGGGCTTTGGAGGCATTGAGAAAGTAGTGGGTGGGACGAAGGTCGTGGTATAAAGTGAAGGTCATGTGCATGAGGCTCTTAGGAGGGGGAGGTGTAGGAGTTGGAGACTATTGAAAGAGGACAGTTGTTAAGAATTCTTCCCCAAAGACAGACTGGACAGGCTGGGCCTAGGAGCCTGTCCAGATGGGAGGTACTATCCCAGGGGGCTCACAAACATACTAGTAGTTGATCTGGTGAGTTGGGCAGATGAGGAGGCTGGTGCAGACCTTGCCAGGCAAGTGTATCTGTGAGGTGCTCAGCCAGACTCCATGAAAGAGGGGTACCCTCATGGGTGAAGAGATGCCTCAAGAAGGAGAAGGGAACCCTGCCTGGCCCATGAACTCTGTGCCCCGGGAGACGTGGAGGCCCAACAAGACCTTGGACAGACCATGAAGCCCAGAAGCTCCATTTCTAACTGCTGATTTGACTTCTAAGGGCCGTGGAAGAAGCAGAGGGGTCTCAAGCCTGGCCTGTCCATGGCTCATTTCTGACCCCCAGTGCTGACCCCAGCAGAGCCTGCAAGCCAAGACCCACAGCTCTAACAGCTGCTTAGGCCTCCTGGCATCAGCCATTTAGTGTAACTGATATTCAGTGTCAGCCTGTCTCGTGAAGAGAGAGCTGAGAGGCCAGTCTAGTGCCCACATGAGCAGACATGAGCACATGAAGAGGAGAGCAGCCATGGCCTGGCTTGCTCACCCCCACACCTAGTCCAGTTCTGGGTGAAGAAGGAGTTTCTGGGGGAGCTGGGAAGCACTGCTGGCTGTTTTCCTTAGCCTTCCTCTCCTTGACTGGGTGGCGCATAGTGTCTAACTGGGTTATCCATTATTTATCTTGAAAGCCTCCCTTGGAGTCCTAGGGGAGGGATGCTGTCTCCACTCCTAGAGGTGGTTGTGAGCCAAGGAGACCCAGGAGATGAGGATGCCTGGGAGTAACAGCCACTGCAGTCTGGAGTAGGAGGCGTAGCCCTTCAGTTTATAAAGCACATGCCGACCGTGGCTTCTCAGAGCTGACCAGTTCTTTATCCATCCGTTCCTAATCCCTCACAGCAGAGTCTTGTCTTACTTTTTTCCAGGAGCTGTTTATGTATTAAGGTTTGAGCTTAAAGGAAATCTGAACAGGTAGCTTAGCTAGGTTTCATGGGACGTGATTTGTTGGAGTACCACATGAAGCCCCTTCCCTAGAGCCAGGCTTTCCCCAAGGAGTGGAGCTTAGGGGAGCGGAGAAAACTAGAGAGGGAGTTCGCTGGAAAGCAGGAGCCTGGGTAGAAGGTGACGTGGCCCCAGTGGTAAGAAACTTCTCTTCCCCTGGGCCCCCAGGTGCCTTGATGGTCCCCTGCTATTCATCCGGAGCACTCTGTGCCCTGTCCTGTGTGACCTGCCTCTGCTCTCTAATGCTGTCACACCGTGTGGTGGAGCCCCCCAGGCCCTTGATGCTGTTCCCCAAAGCCAGCCTCTGCTGTGGCTGACCACAGCCTGTCCTGAGAAGCAACCCCTTGTCATTGGCTGGGCCTGTGTTGGGGGTTCATTCAGCCAGCTCTCCTCAGGGACCTGTGAGACTAGGGTCCGCCCTAGCAGAGAACCCCATATGGGCCCAAGGTGGCCCTGAGGGCTGTAATGTCCCTGCCCACCCTGCCTGTAGCCTCTTTCTATGCGGACCAGAACTGTCGCGCTAGCCTGTGTCCTGTCTCCACAGTCCTCCCTTCCCAGGGGGTGGCTGAGGACAGGGATGTGACAGTCCTCTCAGTGAGACAGGACCCATCCATGGGAGAAGATAGGGCATAGGGTCTTGAGGGCATTGGCCACGGCGATCAGACCTTTGGCGCTGACACTTAGTAGAGAGGGGATGTTGAGCAATGTGAGAGAGCACTGGCCACCCAGCCCCACGGTCTCCGGGCGGGCTGTGGGTGTGAGAGCTAGCTCAGGCTTGGCTCAGGGGTGGAACGGTAGAAGCATTTCAGTGGTGCGGCCTAACATACCTTCCTGGTCGGTTCAGCTGAGGACGACATTGGAGCCTGGCCTCCTGTTTACCAGACATTATTTTTATAAACCCTTCCCTTTAGCTCTGTGGAGGGCTTACTTTTTCATCCCCATTTTACCAATGTAAAACATGAAGGATCAGAGAGGTTAACGAACCTGTCCAAGATCACACTGTGTGTGCAAGATACAGGCTCAGAGCTGTGAGTGTTGTTTTCCTGTGGCCTGCTGTTCCCTCTCCTGGTGGCAGCTTTGTAGAATGCAGCTGCTGCATGGCAATTTCTTCTACGTCGGTATCTCATGCACAGTCTTATCGCTGCAGGTTAATTCATAGAAAAAGCACCTCAGTTGATTGCAGGGAGTTTCGAATCCACAGAAGAGCGGAGACTACAGGAACCAGCCTCAAGCTCCGTGCACCTATGGGTGCCCTTGCTCATGCTTGGGTTTCCATCCTGACACCCAAAGGCTATGCAGGCCCCAGCGCCTCTCTCCCTTCTGTCCAGGGTCGGGGGCCCTAGAGCCTGGCTCGTTTTGCCAAGGAAGCCAGTGCTGGCTGAAAGTGGCTCCCGCCTACGTCAGCATGGCTCCCCCTGGGGACCCACACCCCTCGCGTGCCTGCCACTCTGCCCAGGGGCCAGGCAGGACGGGCTGCACCTGCTGTTTCTCACCTTGGCTCTTGTGTCTCTCGTTTCAGGAAATTAAAATGCATGACAGATAGCGAGTCCGTCCCGCCGGACTGGCCCTATTACCTAGCCATTGATAGGATTCTGGCCAAGGTCCCCGAGTCCTGTGAGGGCAAACTGCCGGATGGCCAGCAGCCGGGGCCCTCCACGTCCCAGACCGAGGCGTCCATGTCACCGTCCGCTAAGTCTACCCCTCTGTACTTACCGTATACCCAGTGCTCCTATGAAGGCCGCTTCGAGGACGATCGCTCCGACAGCTCCTCCAGCTTACTGTCCCTTAAGTTCAGGTAGTGTGTGTTTGCCCTACCTCTCCTGACCCACCACTGCCTTGACTTCCCTCCCCTGCCCCATCCCCAAATGGGGCCAAGGCTCCAGTGCTTGGAGCTAGGGGCTGGCGGTGGCTCAGTGGCATGCTGTGGTGTCCTCTGCCCTGACCGGTTGCACGGGCGATAGCTGTGTGCCTTGTCCAGGGCCAGGTCAGCCTCAGGGCAGCAGGAGTTCTCGTGCCAGTGGACAGGTGGGGCTTGTCCAAGGCTCCATCACCTCTTACCTGCAGGGAAAGTTCTTTGACCTCTCTGACCTCTGTCTCCCACCGTAAAATGGGGATAAATCAGTACTCCTCAAGGAGAAAAGACACAGGGCCAGGCGCCAAGCATTCCCTCCCTGCCTGCCAAGCCCCAACATGGGCCCCACCTCAGTAACAGATCCTCTCAACATGGAGCTATAGTCTGCGCCTCCTGAGCAGTGAGCGGGCCATATGTTATCTGTCTTCTCTGTCATCACACTCTAGGCCTATAGTAGTCACACACCTGTGCCTGCAAGATACTCATAGAGCCTCTGAGAGTTGGGGGGGGGCAAGGAGGAGACACCGTATGGCGTTGGACTGTGGAGTCCAGAGCAGACACTTCTGAGGAGGAGATATTTAGGATGGGTTTGCAAGGTAAAAGAGGAGGCAGGCAGTTAAAGAATCTAGGAAATGTGACTTCGAGTTATGGGCCTTCAAGCCTGTCTCACAGAAGGTAGTGTAGGGAAGGTGTCTCCATGGCGGTCTCTGAACCTAGTGTCCCTAGGGTGGGAAACATCTGCTAAATTCACCCAGAAAGCCCTTCCCCAGAGGGAATTTCTCACTGAAGGGCCCAGACAAAATCTGTCTTTACTAGAGCCAGGCCAAGCGAGCAGAGAAGCCTGAGATTTATGGCCAATTGTTCCCATGGCTTACCAAGCCCAATTCCCAGGCACAGCTGCCTGGGGCTTTGTCCCCAAGACTGGCTGATCACCCACTCTGTCAGAACACTGAGCCCAGGCCAGGCACTGGCAGCTACCAGAATAGGCCTTGGGGTCTGGCAGGCATTGACAACTCCTTGCTGTCCAGCAACCCTGGGGCATCTCCTGGGGAGGAACCCAAATGGTCGGTCAGTCTGTCTGTCTGTCTGTCTGTCTGTCTGTCTGTCTGTCTGTCTGTCTCTCTCTCTCTCTCTCTCACACACACACACACACACACACACACACACACACACACACACTCACACTCCACCCCACCAAAGGCATACTTGGAAGCCAGGCTTAGGGTGGGCCTTCATTCTGAACCCATTTCTTCATCTGTCACAGGCCAGTGGGGGCTACAGATTTCACTTACTTAAGAGTACCAAGTGCCACAGCATCTTCCAGCCTTGCTGCTCCCTGGAGTGGGCTCTTCACCCTGGAGTACCCTCCTCCAGCTCAGTGGGATTGGGGTGTTGTCAGGGTCGTGTGCCCACAAGGTCCACACTCTGGGATGTGGATGGTCTTGGGGCTGCCTGCCTGCTCCTCCCACCAGCCAGCACTGGCTGTCACCTGCTGCTCTCTCTGCTGAGTGAGCCCCAACCCTCCTCACCCCTGTGAGCCGCGACCTGAGTCAGATAGGGGCCTCAGTGTCCTAGTTTGTCCAGTGGGGTGTTTGGGAAGGTCTGAAGGCCCCCCTGTCCCAGGCCTGTAACCAGCTCACGTCTCCTCCACAGGTCAGAGGAACGTCCTGTGAAGAAACGCAAGGTACGGAGCTGTCACCTACAGAAAAAGAAGCTGCGGCTGCTGGAGGCCATGCTGGAAGAACAGCGCCGGCTGAGCCGCGCCATGGAGGAGACATGCCGAGAGGTGCGCCGTGTGCTGGACCAGCAGAACATCCTGCAGGTTCAGAGTCTGCAGCTTCAGGAGCGCATGATGAGCCTGCTGGAGAAGATCATCGCCAAGTCCAACGTCTAGGTCATGGCCAGGATGCCAGGTGCCACATAGTCCCATCTGGAGGCTCAGGGCCCCGCCCACCCAGGCTCAGGGCCCCGCCCACCCAGGCAGGGTTCCAGAAAGGGGACAGGTTTCAACCTGGCCCCTGTGCTTCTCTGAAGGGCTTTCCAGGACTCCAGTGGCCTTGGGAGACCTTGGAACCCCCATGTCCAGCATTAATGCCAGGGACTCTAGGGCGACTCCTAGTGAGAAGATCCCAGCATCTACTCTCCAGTAAAGTCACTACCATGATACTTGAAACGGCTTTTGATATTAAACATACTTTCCATTGTTGCCTGGAAGCTGACTTCGCTCTCTCTGGTGTGAAGGGGAAAGGGAAGTGCTGGCTGGGACAATTCTCCTCTGCAGACAAAAGCAAATGCCATAGGTCGGGGCAGGCTGTAGGGGTCTTTCCTCCACAGGCTCTGTAGCATCTGCCCTCATTACCCAGTTATCACCATACTAACCCATACTAAGGCCACCCCTTAGTCATCAGTGTGGAGCTTCACACTAGCCCAGGATCCGTGCCGACTCGTGCTCATGCTCTCCGAAGGCCTGTTGATCTGGGTCCTGGGAGCCGTGGCATGCTCAGTGAGGCACAGGTCTTGGCTTTATGGAGCTCTACTTCAGTCAGCAGAGAAATAGTAGCCAATGACGGTGAGTGCTGAAGGCTGGGCCTGTGACAGAAGGAACCAGACTCAGGTAGAGCTAGGAAGAGCACCCCCACACAGGGAACAGCCGTTGCAAACACCCACGGGGACCGGTTGCCAGCAGCTAGGTCACCCAGAGCCTGTACCTCTGGAAGAAGTTTGTCTTTTCTCCAAGTTTGTGGGGAGTGCTTGAGCCTGGCATCTGGGAAGGCCTACAATGGTCATCTTGCCACTGTCGTTTTACCATATGAAAGATTCTTCCCAGGACCCCCTCTGCTGAATAGCCATAGCGGCTTTGACCAGGCCTTGGCTTTTTCACTGAGGCCACAGAGGAGACTGGAAGCAAGCCTGTCTGATTCACCCCTTGGAACCAGGCCAATTTCAGCCCCAGAGGATTTGGGGAGTTGGCTCAGGTGCTTCTGTGTTTCAGTTTGCCCTGAGACTTAGAGTTTACCTCTGAGGTCAGGAGTGATAGCAAGGCTTCACCGGGCAGCTGTCAATCATCCTGATGTGAGGATGCCAGCTCTGCGGACTCTTCAGTGATAGCCAGGCATGAGAGAGAGAGAGAGGCTGTGAGGCTGTGTCACTAGATGGTGTGGTGAGCTACCCCAGGCTACCTCTGGAGGGGCTGCATGTGCTGTGCAGCTGAGGCAGAGTAGCAGGCACGATCTACCTTGAACAGACAGAGAACTCAGGGGCATGTGGTACATGAGAGCCAAGTTAAGGAGTCCGGCCTCCTCCTGCCTCCCAGAATTCATCTACACTCAGTGATCTGCTGACAGGTACCTGCCTGTCCTCGTTAGTGGGTCACTGAGGCTGGGCTGCCATGAAGCTGCTGAGCCTCAAAAAAAGAGGGGGTGGGTATTTCCATCCTTCCAGAAGGAACAGTAGTGCTACCCGAGAGGCTGCTGGAGGTGAGCACTGGCCACCTGTGTCCTGGAGCTCCACAGGAGAGGACAGAATGCGGGTCAGGATGCGCCAGTGTCTTCATGTTTAGACCCCCATGTTCCGGGGCTGAGGCAGTGGTACACCGCAGTTTCAGTGTCCTGTCAGTTGGCATCTTTGCACTCTGCATTTGAAAGCAGCCACTGTCCGAACAGGCTGGGGCTTGTTTGTTCGTCCCCCTCAAGGCTAGATGGGACTCATCTGTTCAACACCTGGGGTTGACCAAGCCTTCCACAGTGTGCCTGCCCATGAGGACTTTCTGGTTTCTTCTTTAGCTATCGGGTATTTTGGGGAGTAAAGTAACTCTATTAGCAAACGCTAAAATATCTGATCTGGTCAGCAAAACATGAACACAGGAGCCAGGCAAGTGCTTTCGCCATTGCTACCTGATTCTCTGCCATCCTGAACACGACACTGGTCAGCAAACAGAGAGAACTAAGGGACAGGAGGAAGACATGACAGTTACCTTTATTTTCAGGTAGTACTTTTGATGATCCAGAAAACCAAATACACAAAACCTCAAGAGCTTCAACCTAAAATATTAAAATTGACAATAGAAAATGAGTCCACTCAAGTGAAACCAGAGTAGCAGACTGCCCAGGAGTGGATTTAACTAGAAACGCAGAGGCCCTTGCAAAGATACACAGTGTCAATGAAAGATGCAAACAGTACCCAAGTGTGGGGAGCTGGGTGTACCCCAAAAGCTCCAGCCTTCTCATTTTATTGTGATCCCACTATATCTCTAAGAGAACTGCAGGTTTCGTTGTGAAATGACAAAATGATGTTTAAATTCATATGAAACAAAGAATGGGGCCGAAGGTGGGGAGGTGTGCTCCGTGGCCTACAGAGTTGGGACATGCACATTGGGAGCCTTCAGGTTACCTTGTGTGGTGATGCTAACGAGAAGTGTCATCTGTAGTCTCAGACGTTTGAATACACTCAGTCTCCAGGTGGTGGCGCTGTTTGGGGAGGCTTAAGCACTTTGCTGGAGGAGGTGTGTCACTGAAGGCAGGCTCTGAGAATGCAAAGACTTGCCTGATTCCTAGTGAGTGCTCTCCTTCCTTCCTGCTTGTGGTTTGAGATGTGAGCTCTCAGCTGTCCCTGCCACCATGCTTCTCCTCTGCCCTTCTTCCCTGCAGTGATGGTGATGGACTCTCATCCCTCTGGAACCATAAGCCCAAATAAAGATGGACTCTCATCCCTCTGGAACCATAAGCCCAAATAAACTCTTCCTTCTATAGGTTGCTTTGGTCATGGTGGTTTATAACAGCAACAGGGAAATAACTGGTACACCTCTTCACGTGTGGGCCTGGCCCGGCGTCTGATGGACTCAGAGACTGGGAAGAGCCTCAAGGACAGGAACTCACACCCTGGCTAAGGGGATTGCGACGGCCTCTTCAGGGATCCATCTGAAGAGACGTTCCTTTCTGACCAGCAGCTCCACCACTCACACAGCGCCTCAGCAGGGCAGCTCAGCATGTCACTGGAGCGTGGTAGAGCTCACATGATCATCTTGGGGACCCTGGTGACTCAAAAAAGTGACCAGTGATGGATACCAGAGAACTTGAAAGAGTTCCAACCAGCAGCACCAGTACCTATAAAAAACTTTATTAAAAAATTAAACTTTGGGCATATGAAAATGTTATTTCAGAACAATAAACCCTTTACATGTTATTATCCAGACCAATTGTATGAAAATGTGCTTTCCAAAACAAGGTTTCTGCAAGAAAAGTGGCATTGTTTTATATTTGTACAAATCTCTGGCTTACGGGAACCAGCGAGGGTTCCTCGGGCGCCTGTGTACTCTGCTGCTGGCAGAGGTTTTGGTTGTTAAATGCAGGATTCTATCCGGAAAGAACAACCTCCCAGGAATAGTTACCTGGAAAGAAGAGATATTTAAAGAACAAATCAATGTGGCTGTCCTAACCCTGTCCTACCTCAAGCTTGAGGAGCTGGGAGATGGGGTTTTTGCCTTTTCTGGGCCTAGGGATTGAACTTAGGGTCTCCAGTATGCTAGGCAAATGCTCCTCCATTAAGCCACCTCCCCCAAAGCCCCAGCCTTCCCTTGTGTCTCATCTTAAGCCTCACTGGCTCTTTATCCTTCTCTGCTTGTATCTCTGGAGGGCATTTGGAAACAGTTTTGGAAAATATTGTGCCCAGAGTGATACAAGTGTTCCTAGTGTTACAACATGTCATCGATCAGGTGCCAGATAGTCACCTTTGCCCAGTCATGAGCAATCTCGGCAGGAAGTCCTCAGGTGGGAAGTTCCCCAGCTCATGGTGGTGGGAGCAAGTACTTCCCAAGTCTGACTCGTACAGCAAAGTATGCATTTCCCCACCAGTAACAAATGCGGCCACTGTTTCTCTTGAGGAACTGGCCTACTCCATTTCTCAGGAATATACCTAGCCAGCATTCTTTCAAGGAGTCTTTATAAGCTGCATTTTATTGCAGCACGCACAACTTGCCTCTCCTCGGTCAGCCCAGCACTCAGGCACGACAAAAGCCTTGCACGTACACTTTCCATCACAAGGAACTTGAGAGAGATATGGTCTCAAGGTTAGGACCTAAGACAGTCAGTGCCTCATCAGGGACATTCATGGGCACAGCTGGTGCCTCATGCCTGGAATCTCAGTACTCAGGAGGCATAGGCAGAAAGTTTTCTGTGAGTTTTAGGTCTTACTCTGCAGTAAGACCTTGTTTCAAAAAGAAAAAGAAAAAAGAACATGCATATAACACATGAGAGGAAGGAAGAGGAAAAATTATGCAAATAATGCTAAATAAACATTAACAGAGGGCAGGCACCATATCCCAGTAGGTTTCCTTAAGAAGGCTCACTGAGTCCAATGTTAGACCGGAGGAGGCCTACCATTAGTGACGGGTGCAACTTTGCTTAGAAATATTGGCAAGATGTGATGCTTATCTCTAGTCTCTCATGACTGTGAGACAGAAAACCTGAGAGAGAAGTTTGTTTTTTTTTTAAGTGCTTAGAATTAATAAGGGAGGAATATATAATTAGTAGTGACCAGAGCAGTAGGGGGTAGGTAAATCCCATTTATAATAGCATCAAAAAGCTACAAAGTGGCACCTCTAATCCCAGCACTCCGGAGGCAGAGGCAGGTGGATCTCTGTGAGTTCAAGGCCAGCCTGATTTACAGAGTGAGTTATAGGACAGGCTCCAAAGCTACACAGAAAAACCTTGTCTTGGATTTAAAAAAAAAAATGCTATGAATTATGCTGTTCATTGTGGATCAGGCCTTACACTGGGGAGGCAGAAGCAGGTCTCTGAGTTTGAGGCTATCCTGGTCTACATAGTAAGTTCCAGGACAGCCAGGGCTACATAGTGAGACCCTGCCTAAAAGGAAAAAAAAGAAGACCTCAAAGTCCCCATGAATAAATGGTCAAGGAAGGACCACTGTGGAACACAGCAAAGAAGTTCAGCCCTGGACAAAGGCCATGCTCTGGGGAGGATGAGATGGGAATCCAGATGTAATTCCAATAGAGCCCAGCTTGTGGAGGACCTGGAACCACAACCAAAGGTAGAGGCAGAGGAGAACCAACTGTCTTACCAAGAGGGAAGCTTTGGTAGTACCACCCACTGGGCATAGTTGCCAAGGCTCTGCCATGGTCTGCAGGGGGTAGATGGAGGCATGGCAGCCCAGCTTGCAGCCCTGTTGACATTCTACGGGCTTGGCCAGGGTGGGGT